AAAAAAAAAAAAAAAAAAAAAAAAGAAAAGAAAAAAAAAAAAAAGTCAGATCCCTCTGGGTCAGTTGATGGCGTGGAAGTTAGGGCAGCTGGAACCCATGTGGATAACTGTGGGGTTTGAGTTCCAGGTCCAGTGATTTGAAAACATGCTAGTTGAATGTGTGTGTGTGTGTTCTTTATTTTGTGTGTGTGTGTACCCAAAATCCTGAGAGGAGAATGAGGAGATGAGATTGTGGCATGGCCATCCCACCCGGGGTGACATCCCACTTCTCTCTCTCTCTGGTGAGCGCATGCACCCTAATAGTAAAACTACCCAGATGCTGGGGCCAGCAGGTGGCGCGGTGGTTATTAAAGTGCTGGCCGCATGGCTGACCATGGCTTGTGTCCCAGACCTGGCGGCTTGAAAATCATGCTGGGTGTGTGTGTGCTCAAAATCTCAGGAGAATGGAGGGCAAGGGATTGTGGAGTGGCCATCCCCAGTGTGTGTGGGGGTGATTTCTCATTTTCCCTCTCCCTGACTTTCTCTGTCTCTCTCCTGTGAGTGCACACGCCCTGTGGCAAAAACCTAAAGACAAAAACAAACTATTCAGATCCCTAACAACTAACTGTAGTCTGTGGGGAATCTTTTTGTCAGAGGGCACATGCTCTTGCTGGAGAGAGATAGAGGGGGAGAGAGAGACAGCAACCCTCATGGGGAATGGTCATGCCACAACCCCTTCTTCACCAGTGCTCCCTCCTTTTCGGATTTTGGGCATGCACACACACATGTCCAGTGTTTTTTTGTGTTGTTTTAAGAATTGTTTTATTTAATTTTATCCATTTATTTATTTATTTTCATTTGACCAGAGAGGGATAGAGTGAGAGAGAGAGAAAGAGTGAGAGAGAAAGTAAGAAAGCAAGCCATCGAGTCTGGGACTCAAATCATGGTCGGCCATGTGGAAATCCATCGCCTTTAACCATCATGCCACCTGGCGGCCCCTCCAGTGTGTTTTTCAAACCATGGGTCCGAGACTTGAACTGTGGGGTTGGCCATATGAGATTTGGCTCCCTTAACCACCAGGCCACAGAGCCAGCCTACTTTCAAAGGATGTTAAAAAGAATATCCCTGGGTCCAGCAAATGGCATAATCGTTACATCACTGGACTCCCATGTGGTCGACCATGGTTCGAGTCCTGGACCTGGCAGCTTAAAACTCATGCCGGACACCTGTGCGTGAGTGCCTAAGATCCTGAGAGGAGAATGGAAGAGAAGGGATAGTGGAATGGCATTGCAGCATGGCCATCCCCCTAGGGGGTGATTTCTCACTTTCTGTTTCTTGGCAAGCCCAGATGCCCTATAGCAAAAAATCTCTCTTAAAAAAAAAAAAGAGAGGAGACCAGCAATTAGCATAATGGCTATGTCACTGGACTCCCACGTAGTCGACCGCGGTTCAAGTCCCAGACCGGGTGGCTGAAACTCACGCCAGGCGCATGTGCATGCGTGCCCAAGATCCCGAGAGGAGAATGGAGGAGAAGGGATTGCAGCTTGGCCATCCCCCCTGGGGGGTGATTTCCTGCTTTCTGTCTCTCTGTCTCTCTCTGTCTGTCTGGCGAGTGCACGTGCCCTATAGCTAAAACCTCTCCAAAAAAAGAGA